ACATCAACAGACCAGCAGCAACAATGATGACATCAATATTCTTCCTCGCGATACACTTTTCAATGGTTTTGGCAGCTTTCGAGAATATTCACATGTAGCAGACACAGATGGAACAGTACTTAAAGAGAGCTCTTCTGTCGATGCTTTGGATGAGACTGCTAAACGAATTGAAAATAAAAACCTAATATGCATTATCAAGTGAAGAGAGAGAGAGAGAGAGAGAGAGAGAGAGAGAGAGAGAATGAAAGAAAGAAAAAGAGAAAGAAATAAAAAAGAAGAGAGAGAGAGAGAAAGAGAAGAAATGAAAGAGAAAGATAGATGTGAAAGCGAGAAAAGAAGAATGATTGTCGGAATGACTCTCTGATTGACTGACTAAATGGATGAATGGATGGATGAATAAATGTATGGATTGAAAATGGGTAGACGAATGAATGAATGACTGAATAAACAGATGAATGAGTGAATCATTGAGAAGATGAATTAATGAACGCGTGAATGAATTTGAATTACTTGAATAATACCGGTGTATACGAGTGAATAAACTGATAAACATGAATTACAGGATGAATTAAACGAACGAATGAACGAACGAACGAACGAACAAACGAACGATTAAATGAATGATCAAATGAATGAATGAATAATTGATTGATTGAAAGATTGAACAAAAATATGAATGAATGGAAAGTTCCATTACTTTTTTTTCATAATTTGCATGTGCCGCATTTATAATTTTGATTTTGAAAAGCTGAAATGACTTGAAACATCTTGAAAGAATTTGCTAATTGTTTCCCAGATTTCCCAAATATTGCACAAAAATGTTGATGAATTTTATTCGCGAAAATGTTTTTCGTTTAATTTTTATCTAATAAACAAACTAAATTAATTAAATTGACCATAACTGAACAAGATATTTTTCAAATTTATTTCAATTCGCTGTTCAACATCGCTTATAACAATGTAATTATCTTAATCAAACTCAAACAACTATTAAATCTGAAATTGCATGAACTATATTCGCTACGGGTGATTAGTAAAATTTTATTAGAAGCAAGTCTCTTCTTTCCTCCAAATCATTATTAACATACTACCGACAAAGCAGTATATATGTATCATTTTAAAAAACACGTTTGTTAACGAGTGACATGGCTAATTAGGAATTCAACCTGCAATCCAACAAGACTGAATACTAAGAAGTCAGGGCATCGCTCTTAAGCCGTCACAATGAGAAAATAAAGAAGGTGAGGGTAGTGTGAGAAAAGATAGAAGTATGAAGACATGTGGCCAGTACACTGATGATGATAAACATGGCGTGTGAGTATAAGGGCGAGATTATGAAGACGACAAATATATTGATCGATTGTGACCATAATGCTGACAAATATGATGATGATGATGATGACGATGATAATGAAGACGAAGACGATGAAGATGATGAAGATGATGACGATGATAATATCGAAGATTAAAAATCCAATAATACACACAAATAATTTTTTAAAAATCTTTTTATAAAAAAAATAAATTTTAATTCAACCTATATGCGCATAATTTTAAACGAAGTGAAGACATAAATCAATAATTTAAATCTCCCATAAGTTCCTGTGCATTGGGTGTTTTATAAACGAACAATTAAATTATATTAGGAGAATAATAACATCAAACCTATGCTACTACTAATACTACCCCCGTTACAACAACAACTACTACTACCACTACTACTACTACTACTACTACTACTACTACTACTACTACTACTACTACTACTACTACTACTACTACTACTACTACTACTACTACTGCTACTACAGCAACAACTACTCTTACTACTACTACTACAACTAACTACTACTAATAATAATAATCATTATACTATAATCATTAATATGAACAAGTTATAAAAATATGAGCTGCAAAACAAATATCAATAAACAATGATAAAGAGAGTGGTGGAAATATTATCAATAATATCATTAATTAACGTCTGTGATGTGTATATATCATAATTATTTATGTGTATGTATGTATGTATGTTTGCATGTATGTATGTATGTATGTATGTATGTATGTATGTATGTATGTATGTATGTATGTATGTATGTATGTATGTATGTATGTATGTATGTATGTATGTATGTATGTATGTATGTATGTATGTATGTATGTATGTATGTATGTATGTATGTATGCATATGCATGTATGTGTATGCTTTGTATATATGTAAGTCTGTGCAAAACTACAAAACAACCTGTTACAACAATCATTAATCGTATTGAAAATTATCCATACTCATGGGAATGACCTTTTATGATTGTAAGTTTGTATCTATGTTTGTTTGTATTTATGTATATTTGTATCTATTGTTGTTTGTATCTATGTTTGTTTGTATCTATGTATGTAATTTTTTAATGTATGTATATGTATTAACGTATACAAAGTACTTATATCAAAACACAAAACGTACATACATGTTTAATTTATCTATCAATTAAATAAGCATTACAGGTATTTTGGGTAAAAATCGTATACATTGTATATAGAATGTATTTATGTATATGTCAATTTATATATATATATATATATATGTGTGTGTGTGTGTGTGTGTGTGTGGTGTGTGTATGAAAACTTATGGTCAGGTACAGGTACGTGTTATTCTTAAGATATTATTATTAAGATACAGACAGATTCACCACATAATTTATAATACGCCTTTCATAAAACAATAGAGCAATCGTTTAAAGATTGAAAAAAACATTTTTTTTTTAGAAAATTGAGAAAAAGTTAATCTACAATTATATATAGGCTATAATATTTTATAATAATTAATTAATATATTATTTGTTTATGAATTGTTTGTTGTTGTTGCCAGGTTGGTTTGATTTCTTGCTTGGTTTTAATTTCAAGTAATTCCACATTGTAGTTATGGTGCGATTGTACTCACTGTACTGTTCAAGTCATTGTACTGTGTTGTAGTTTACTTTTTTTAACTTCATTCATTTATAATTTGAATTTTTGGACTGAGTGTTACCATTTTTGAGTGTTTTTGTCAGAAAATTTGTGTGGAATTGAAAAAAATTTTGGCAAAATTTAAGTAATAAATTTTAAAACTACGTTTTATTGTTCGATTTCTTTTTAAATTTAATTCATTTGGTTTCGTTTAATTTTTTTTATTGTATTTTGTTTTAGTTATTATTTGGAGTGCAACAGTTTTTTATTTTATAATTATAGAGAAGGAATTGAAGATGAAACTGCTGTTTGGACTTGTCCTCTTGCTGTCGGTTGCCTTAGGGATCCACGCAGCATGTAAGTTATTTAATCTTAAATTCAATTAAAAACCAATCAGAACCAATTAAAATTTTATTATATTGTTAATTTTTAATAATATCTAAAATGTTATTATTCAAGTTTATGATTGAAAAAAAATTTCAACATTTTTTTATATACGAACATTTTCTGAAATCTCCCAGCGTCTACGCCCCAGGTGTCTCCCAGCCCAACAGGTTATTTAATGTTAGTTATTAGAATATATAAGAGCGTTCATTGAAGCATTTAGCTGGTTTTATCTGTTTGTTGTTGCCAAATAATTTCATTAAATTGATCTGATACTTCAGTGAAATGAAGTTTTCATCAACGTTAATCAATTTTTCTCTCCCATTAACGCAACAGCCAAGCGAAATAAAATCATAAAACTTGAAATTTTCATTTCAGCAGAACAAAATGTTGACGAGGGAACGCCAGCGCTAGGTCCCCCTCAAGCGTCAGCGTCAATTACAAAAGTCGACTCTTCCACCAACACCACTACAGACTTCAAACAGGACGCTGCACCTACGACAACCACAGCCGCTCCTCAGAACGACAACACGACTGCTGCCGCAACGGGAAATGAAGCTGGAGTCACAGCAGCAGCTGTTGCAACTTCAAATGAAACACAAATACTCGAAGTTTCGACTCAATCTCCTCCATACAATTTAAATACTGAAAATATAAATTCCGCCAACGATTCCACAAGCCCCAACGACAACAAAACCGACTCGGCTACTACGGAAATCATACCGACAACAGTAGCTCCTGCAGAGAACGCCACAGGGACTAACCCAGGCCTCCCGGCCAAAAATGAGGGTAGACATTTTGATTTGACGTCATTTTTCGGAGGAATTTTGCTGTGTTTCTTTATAGTAGCTCTCGTCCTCCTTGCCATCAAGTGTTTCGGAAAGAAGAAAGATTACCAGCCGATGTAAAAAATGTTCCGAGTGAATGTTAAAAAGAAGGTGGAAAATTTGCGAATAATTTGTTTCAATTATGTTTAATTGAAATTATTATTTGATGAATAGTTAATTTGAATGAGTGAAAGAGTTTAAGATATAAACGATTTTGTGATGGTGATTTTCGAATTTACGATTTATAAGAGAGAGAGAGAGTGAGTGAGAAAGAGATGAGAGAGAGAGAGAGAGAGAGAGAGAGAACGTTTAATTAATTACTATTTTCAGTGTTGTTGTTGCTGTTGTTTTGTTATTTTCTCTTCAACTTCACCAGCGTTTTACGTTTCAAGCTGCAAGGTCGAAATTTCCAATAAAAATAATGTACAAAAACTAAAAAAAAACTAGTCGTCGAGATGGTGTAATGGCTAAAGCGCTTGGTTCTGCAGTTGCGGTGACCGCCTTCGATTGCGACGAGATCCGCGCCTTATTGCGTAACAATGCATGGGTTGACGCGTATTTATATTTATATGTGCTAATGCCTGCGTGTGTGGGTGTTTTTGACTATTCTGAAAATTAATTAATAGTGAACTAATAATTTAAATAATGAAATTTATTATTATTATTATTATTACAGGACACCTCATCAAATGTATGGCTTGAACTGATGCACACGTGAATGATAGCTGCATATCATTCTTTTGTACTACAAAATGTTTTCCTATGCTTGCTTTATTATTTATTTCTTTTAAATTTAAAAATAACACTTGAAAAATAATTAGTTGGTGGTGGAATTTGCCATAAAATAAAACTTATAGATAAAATAAAATACTTTCCTTTCAAATAATGAATACCGCCTTTTTATTGCATAATGTGTAGAGTAACAAAAATGTATATAAGTCGGGTTCAGTTAGGCTGTCGCTAATCATCAGATGGATGATTGATTTTGATTCAAGATGTAAAATCAAATTAATAAAACTCGTAAAAAAATTTTGAGAAACTGGAACGTGATTGTTCCCTGGAATGACGCGAAAAAAACTAAGACGAACAAGTTAAATAACACAAACACGTTTCAAGCGTTAATGGTCAAACAACAACACAACGACGACATGATGGTGTAAGGGTTAAGGCGCTTGGTTCTGCTGTTGCAGTGACCTGATTCGATTACAAATAGATTTCATTCTATCATAGCTGCCTGTGTATGTTTTATAACAGAGATAGAGAGAGTTTATAACAGAGAGAGAATAAATAATAATAAAAACACAGGAAAAATTTTAAAAAATATATATACAAATAAAAATAATATAAAATTATGACATAATATTATAAATTATGACATAATATTATGAAATTATGACATAATAATATAAAATTATATTAATTTACAACTGAGGCACCAGTCCAGCGGAAGAGATGTTGTCACCCCCGCCTACGGTTTGTTTCACTTTCTTACATACAATCACAGGAACGAAGCAGAACTCCCAAATAATTTCATCATAATTATTTCTATTATAATTATTATTAATGTAATTATTATTGATGCGATTCTTACTATAATAATTGTTATTGATGCTACTGTTATGTGTGCAATCGTTGTTGATACAGGCGTTCAGGTTCGCACTGCTATTTGTATCATTCTTGAAACACTCATTTTGAAATTTTGTCGAAGTGGTGCACAAATTTGGTGATTTTATGTAGTTTAGTATCGGATTCGATCTCTCAAAACTTGCGTTTGTCTGAAAATTTTTCATATTATCCAATTTTGAAACGATCCTTTCCTTCCAACATGTCACCGGGTCGTAAGAGTTGAGAGTTAAGTTCACTTTTACACCTTTGCTATTCGTAACGGTCCAGGTTGAATTCAAATTAAAGATCAACATAGCATTGTTGATGTCGATCGTTTCAGAGCCACACGTGTGTCTGTTGGCCGTCAGGGACGATTTTGCAGCTGCCGATTTTATGTTTCGCCAACGTTTAAACTTTGAAGCGTCTTCATTAAGATTCATCCCATTTGTCTGATCATCTTCGTTGAATTTTCTAGAATATTCGGTGGCCACAACATGGAACGCTAACGTGTGAAAATGAATTCTTGAAAGCGTTCTTGTGCGTCTTACCATCGAAACACTTTCTTTCTTAGTTTCTATTTCGGTATTACTTGCGCTTACAGAATTGTCGTTATTCCCTCTCGATTCATAGCCACAATTTTTACAATCTTTTTCATGCTGATTGAAGTCACCCATCAAACGATGTAAATCAGCAGAGAGTTTAACCACTGCCCTCAGATCCATCAGCACCTTCTCAAGGTCCGGGCGTGTATCAGTCACTAATGTGAACTTTTCGCCAAAGTTTGATGGTTCATCGCAATATATTTTTCCATTATCCAGTGAAACCTGGTTAACATTTTCGCTGCTACTAGATGCTTTTGAATTGTTTTTTGATGTAATGCTGGTTAAATGTTGTCTTGGATTCTTTAATATAATTTCGAGGCACTGTCGCAAATTTGGTAGTTCCTGCTCGTTCATTCCAATTGAATTCACGTGGGATAGGACGTTGGTGATGATGGAGATTAACTTCTTCCTCTCCGAAAAAGATGACAGCTCAGCGTGTATCATCGTCTGCATGTTCAAATCTTTCAGTAACTTCTCTAAATTTTCTAAACCATTTCTACCTACATTCAAAACGAATCATTAAATTGAAATAATTATAAAAAATGAACGTGTAGCGGAATAAATTAAAAACGAAAGCTATGTAGGTAGGTACTCAAATAAATCATCTAAATGAAATATTTGACAGGACACTTAAGAAATATTAACAGTCATTATCATCGTCACTTAAACTCACACACACACACCTCACACACACCCCACACACACACACACCACACACACACACCCCACACACACACACACACACTAATTTTGGTTATAAATAAATTAACGCTCACATATCAACATACACAGCAAATGTCAGAGTTGATTCACAATCTCATGATAAAAAGTGGCAAACTTTAACATTTTATAGGTCAGCATGAAGCACTCTCCAAACTAATGAGAGATATCCTATCTTCGATGAATTTTTTATGACTAACGTACATGCGTGTGTATGTGTTCGTACGTATGTGTGTGTGTGTTTTTGCCTGTATGTATGAGTTTGTGCATGTATGTTTAGCAAACGAAACACTCAACTCAACAATTCAGTTCCACTACTAAGACGAGAAGCTTATAAAAGTTCAAAATACATAGAAGAACAACATTACGAGTAAACAATTTCTGATATGTGTAATAATTAAAAATGTAGAAACGTTTTTCCGACATGGACTCACACCTGATATCAAACAAGAACCTTCTATTGAAATCTTGTACATCCAGTTAAAACGGTAGATGATATAAAACAGCCAACACACCAACCAGCAAACTAGCCAGCCAACCAGTCAATCAACCAACCTACTAACCAATCAACCAACTAAATAACTAACGAGCCAACCAACAAACCAACCAACCTAACTACCAACCAGCCAATCAACCAATCAACCAGCCAACCGTTATTATATTGGGTATCCATGAGTACTCTGAAACCTCCAACAACAAATAGGTCTGGGTTGAAGGTGACGATGCTATCGTAATAAACATTGAACATGGACGTGGGAATGTCTTTTGATTTTCTATACAATATGAATCTGGATTTTGAATTTTTTTCCAATTATAAAATAAAAATCGTGAATTTTAATGAATTTTATACAAAATTAAGTATTTTGGAAAATGTCTTAGTAACTACATATAATACATATAACATTTGACAATATATATACATACAACATAGATACCATATATCATATCATATCAAATATATCATATCAAATAGATCCCAATATATCATATGTTACATCAAATACATCACAAATAAATGATCAAATGATAATTTCATTCAACCCATCCTTCTGAAACTATTACGAAACCTGTTAGCTCTTGGAGTTGATAGTGAGGCCAGTCTTTCGCCTAGCTTGTACTCGAGAATTATATGAACTTCTCTGGGCTCAACTCCAGAGCTTATAACTAAAATTTAGAAGGAGAAATTATCAAAATAATTTCAGTTTAGTGTGAAGAAACATCAGAAGTAAAATAATGTTTACGTTCGTGTCTACGTATTTTATCAGTAACAAAATATCTATTGAGAATCGAAACTTGGAATATGTTCCCACAGTGTTTTTATATATCATATACAAACATACACGTTAAATACATGCATACATCTGTTAGTGTACGAATAAGTACAAATAATTTACATCATTAACCAGCACTTAAAGTACGCACTTGTTGTTGTGTAAAATGTAAAATCAAAAATTTTAAATTTTACCTAAACCAAGTAACATACTTTGAATATCCCCCGACAAATCGTTGAGAGTAGCACTGCCACTCGTGTTATTAGATGATGACGACGACGATGACGTAGACGATGACGTCATGACATCTGATAACAGCATGACACTCACATTCTCTTTCAGAAATCTCCTGGCCATGACAGGTGCGTTACTCCCCAGTTTGACGAGCGGATTCGAGGATTGGGCAGTTTTATAGATGTGGTCAAACAGAGTCTGGTCAGTAACGTAGCGGCTGATTAATTAGGATGGGGTATTGAAATTATTGGTTAAACGATAGATAAATTATACAAATTTGTTGGTAATATAAGATTTTTTTGAGGTCAGTGGGTCATCTGGAATAATTTTTGTTCGTTATCCCATCAAACAATTGCTGCAAAATTTACGCTAAATTGTAGGTAGAAGATAATTTATTTCATGACAATTAAATTAGAAACATTATTAAAAGATAATTTATTTACAATTAAATTAGAAGATAATTATTTACAATTAAACTAGAAGATAATTTATTCACAATTAAATTAGAAGATAATTTATTTACAATTAAATTAGAAACATTACGACGAGAACCCTGCTGAAGCTCCTCTTGCAAAAAAATAAGCGAAAGTTTCGTAAAAGTCTTCGATGCTGCCAATGTGGGCGTGGTTAACTTGGGATGGCTCCTCCCATTTTTGGGTTGCTCTGAGTTTGTCCATGACCTTCAGAGCAGGTAAGATCACATCAATGCAGCTTCCGATCCCAACGGCTACTTTGGTCTCTTCTTTTTTCTGAATATTCAATATTAATAACAGACAATCAAAACAAAAAAAAATTTATTGAAGTATAGATGAAACAAAACGAACGTATGGATGTGGTGTGGAATGATAATTTTATAGAGAATCCCAGCAATTCGAATTATGCAATTCGAAACTTATATCAAACTATTGAGAAATGTACAAACAAACACCAATTGAAACCAACCTGAACATCATTCTCGATTCTCAATAAATTTTCAAGAATAAATTTCAGCTGAACACCCATTGAAGAGTTTGCAGTAGAAGAAAATGAACTAGTTACATCAGAGATGAATTCATTGACTATGACAAAATACTTTAACGAAACAATCAACGTTAATATCCGCAAGACGGCGTGGGAATTCAACATTACGTAATATGTTGATAACCTTCCCAAATGAAAGATCCATCAATCAATCTGTCAATCAAACAACCAATCAATCACACTGAAATACATCTGAAACATTCAAAACAATAATTATTTTAAATAATTAAAGTTGTGTAGGCTACATTTATATATATTTGCCATATCAAAAATTAAATCGAACGCTAACTAAACTGAAAAAGTCCTCAGAAAACATTGGATATATGTAAATATAAATATTGAAGGGTATATATGAGTATTTATAGTATATATATATATATATATATATATATATATATATATATATTATGTGTGTGTGTGAATAACTATGTTTTACGTGGTTATATATATATATATATATATATATATATATATATATATATATATATATATATCTGTGTTTCAATAATTATAAAGGACATTCTGATAAAAATGTAAAAGAGTTGATTACTTAATAATTATGATTCCATTTTTGGTTTTTTAGGATTTGTAAAATGAATGTGAGTTTACATGCACTAAAATATTTAAAATATGCTCTCATTTTTACAATTGTCACTGGTGATCATTACAAGAAAACCATATTTTCTTTTCGATTTCCAGATCATTTCTTTTCATTGATATCATTTTTTTGATTTCTTTGTTTTGAAAAATGTCAAATGTCAAATATATATATATATATATATATATATATATATATATATATATCTATATATATGTATATATATACATATATATATATATATATATATATATATATTGGTAATAGACCATAATTCTTACAATATTCTATAAATTCTACCGAATGTTTGGTGTTAATATGTTTGTAGTTCGTTTTAAACTTATTTTCCGAATTCATGCTGCAAATAAGGCCATATTTCGATTCCGAATGAATCATCATCAGTGCTTTCTGCTGTTTATATAGGGAAATATTGACTTTGTCAAAATGGAGATTGACTTTGTCAAAGTGAGTTTAAATGGAAATTAGGTATCAGGTTTCTATATTGGCTGGTCATCTTCTTTGGTCTCCTTTTCTTCATCGATAGCATCATATTCTTCTTTGTCACTATTTACAATGCTAGTTTTTATTACTTCTTTGTTTTCGTTGTTGGTTAAGCGCCGGGTTGGAAGTGAGGTTGTCATTTTTTGTTGTATATTTATTTTTGGTTTGTTGATGTCATTTAGGACTGCTTCTGCAATTTTAAGATGCGTGTAGTTGCTGTTCTGGTATATTACTTTGGTGTTGCTGTCGAGGATTTCACGGCTAATTGTGATTGAGTGTTTTGAGTCCAAATGAGATTTGATAGCTCCACTCTGTTTATGCATCGTAAGCCTTCTAGTCAGTGAGGTAGTAGTAATCCCGATATATGAGTCACGAGTGCACGTCAACACGATCCACACATTTTTTACCGGTTATACAGTATTGTAAAAATACACACATTCACACGCTCACTAACTCACTCACCTCACTCACTCACTCACTCACTCACGCACACACACACACACACACACACACACACACACACACACACACACACACATACATACATACAACCAACAACATATACATGATTAAGCGCATAATGAGTCGATAAAATTTTTGTTTACAATATGAAAATAAGCAATTATATTACTTAAGTAATTTCATAAGAGCCGCATTCAATTGGTCAATTCGTGATGATAGACTGATAAAGTGATGTGGGTATAATGGTTTTAGACAATTTAGTTGAGTGATTCTATGCTTATATCTATATAATGCTAACTGTATTGTTTGGCTCTACTTGGAAATAATTAAACAAACAAACGAACAAATGAATGAACGAACGAACAAACGAACGAACGAACGAAGAAAACCGGGATTAACATTTTTAACTCTTTATTACGCCGCTATCAGCTGTCAGATGAGCTAGTAAATAATGAGAACATTACTACGTGAAGTTCTAGGTATGCACGCAGTACACGCACGTACACACACAAATACACATACACACGCACGCGCACACACATACACAACATACACACACATATACACACGCACATACTTATCTTTTATATAAATAATATAAAAATTGTGTACTGGTACAGCAAAGCCCTTAACGTAGTTGATTTCGTAGCTGTCAAATGAATAATGTTGAATACTTGAATTTCTTAGCCTAATTTTTTGATTGACGCAAATGGCGTACATTCATTGGTTTTCTTTTATTGAGATGATATAAAATACGAATTGTTTTTCACAATTTGATAAGGTTATGCGTTTTAATCAATGATTTTCACAATACAATTATTATTTTGTATAGAGAAGATACAATATAATGTCAATCATCATTTGCAGATAATGAAGATGCTGTCAAATTTTTAAATTAATTTAATTTCAAACATTTCAGAGCCGTTATTACTCAGTTTTGAAAGCATTTATATTCAATTTTTGCAATTTATCAATAAACTGTGTTGCAATAGCGGCTATTTACATTTATAGGAAGTAGAGATGAGCACGGGAACGGGAATAGCGGGAATCCCATGGTTCCCATGGGTGCGAAAATAAAAGCCTATATATATATATATATATATATATGTGTGTGTGTGTGTGTGTGTGTGTGTGTGTGTGCATTTGAAAATATGAGTAAGAATATAGGTAAGAATATAGGGTGGCGTGATGGCTCAATGGTTAAAGGCTTAAAGGCGCCTGATCATGCTATTGCAATGACTGGGTTCGAATATAAAGAGATCCCCGCCTATCATATGCAATGTGTATGATGCGTGCACGCGTATTCATATCCGCTGTGTGTGTTTGTCGTTGAAACCTCTGAAGCAAACGCAAAAGAGAGAGAGAGTAACCTTTAACCTTTTAATAGTTGACCTGTCATCAGCTATACATTATATACATATATATATTTATTATTTATATATGTAGGCTATTTTCGGGAACGTTGTCGTAAATGGGAATTCGGGAGAGAATCAGGAATGACAAAAAAATAGGATGGTATTGGGAACAAATTTCAATTCCCGCTCGCCTCTAATTGAAAGCACCAACATCTATAGAATTCATTGAATTACATGTATGATGTGTACTTGCAAGTTCAGAGCGGATCTCAAGATCCATCTGTTTTCAAAATTCATTGAGGAGCGCTGTTGAACATCGCGGAAATAGCGCTTTATAAGCTAATTGATTGATTGATTGATTTCATGGTATAAAACAAAATTTTAATTATTAAGCGCTTGATCATTTCAGCAAACAGGTGCACGATTTAAGAGCTTAAGTTTACTTTTTACGTTTTTCGCTATGTTATTAGGAAATTTTTTAAAACAAAAAAATGATCGTTAAGAAGCTGTTGCTTTATATTTTTGCTCTGACCGGATTAGGTAATGATTGGTGGCTTCATATTTTTAGTTTCGTGGTTTAATTAATATCACCAATATTTAATAATTATAACTTGCTTTGATGTCATGATGTTATGATGGGCAATAACCATAATCAATATTACTGTACTGTACTGCATTTAATTAAATTTAAAACAATTTTTAACAATTTAGTTAATTTAGCTGGTTGTCTTTAATCCTGTTTCTATATCAGGTATCTTATAGATACTGTAGATAGAGTGATGTAATTTATAATAGTTTGTGTACATTGTGTCAGTACACAATACTGATACTGTACTGTTGTACAGAGTAATGTATGGTAAGTATTTAGTACATGTGAGTATGATCATGAAATGAAGGTAGTAAATTGTAGTATTACACTTAAAATCACTAGTATTTAAGTAATAAATTTTATTTATTTATTTAAAATTTAATTTAAATATTAACTAATAATGGTTTGTTTTATTATATAGTTTGCAGTGAGTTAGGGGAAAGAATAAATAGATATGACCTATTCCATCATGACCAAGTGAGGCATCACATAAGTAAGAGGGATGTCTACATTAAGTTTCCTGATACAAGAAGACTCGAGTTCAATAGCTTGGGAAAGTATGAAATAAGTCCTAATCATCTTACTTACTAAAACCAAAGACAGCAAATTTTAATAAAAAATTTGCCATTACATATTTAAATCATTTAGTTCTATTTCATTCATGGTATATCAAGCTAAATCATCTCACTTGCTGCTGGCTAATTAAGTTGCACACACAAACAAACACACATACACACACAAAAACAAACAAACACACACACACTCATACACATACATAGAGACACATGGACTTATTTATTTTTATACTTGTTGCTAGTGTAATTATTATTTCTACTGTGAAATTAATATTTTAGAAACTTTAAACTGGAATTAAAAAAAGAGACGTCGTTATTCACAAGTGACTTCCGAGTGACGGTCATCAATGGGCAGGGGTCCAAGAAGACGGTCGATATTCTGCCTAACCTGTATCACGGACATGTCCAAGGTTTTTTTAGGCAATTGATTATGTAATTTAATTTGATGTTATGTGATGTCATATATTTCTTAATAATATAATGGAATGAACTTTTACCAGTTTAATGTAACCTATGGCAGTGTAATTGAATGTTAATGTGTTTTATGTTTTAATGTAATGAAATTGACTGTTAATGTAATTGGATGTGATTTAATGTAATAGGATTTAATGTTACAATATAGTTAGTGTATTTAATACATGAAAGATCATAAATGTTAGGTGATCCAACATCGAAAGTTGAAGCCATGTTTCATAGAGATGATTTGTTTACTGGCAAAGTTAAAATCAACAATGAAAGTTTTGTCTTTGAGGTTGATTGATTGATTGATTGATTGTTGAATAAATGAATGATTGATTGATTGGTTAAGTGAATGAATGAATGAATGAATTAGTGATTGATTGAATGAATGAACGATTGATTGATTGATTATTTAACTGGTTTGTATTTTTAAAGTAAAACCCATTCTTAATTTTGATCAATCATTCATTTAATCAAATATTTAATTCATTCACCCACTCATCCAATCAATCAATCAGCCGTCATGGCGTCATATACCTCACGACACAAACTCAACTATGATTGGCTATAAAGAAAATGACGTCAATTATAAATTTGATCTCGGGTTTGTATGAATGTTTGTATGTTTTACTGTTTTTTGTATGCATGTATTTTATGTATGTATGTATGTATGAATGTGTGCATGTATATATGTATATATGTATGATTGTGTGTGTGTGTGTGTGTGTGTATGTGTATGTGTGATAAAAAGTTTGTATATACGTGTTTGTTTGAAGGTATGTAATTCTATATTATGTGCATATGTTTCTAAATGTATATGTACACATATGTATGTGTGTATTAGTTAATTAAGTAATTAATATAGTTAAATTTGGAGTTTAATAGATATTATTAATAATAATTATGCATAATTATTTCAATATTTCAATTAATTTTCAAAAATAGTAAAAAAATTTTTAAATCCCAGGGATAGGTTCTGTGAGTCTGCCAAACTACCCTTAATGAACGATAATAAAGTTGAAGATGACGACTATAACGATGAGGATGATGAGGATGATGATGATGATGACGATGAGGATGATGATGATGATGATGATGATGATGACCAAGCCAACAACAACAGCAGCAGCGATGGTCATAATGATGACGATGATGTTGATGTCGAAAATGATGGTGACGACGACGACGATGATGATAAAAGTAAATTCATTAATTTTTTCATGTCTAAATGTTAAGCCTAAAATTGATTGTATAATGTTTTGACTAAATTTCTTGAGAGATATCGATTTTTTTAACGAACTTTATAATTTCTGTCTCCACATAGCTAAGAAAAACGGAAATGTAAACAACGGAAATGACGTCAACAATTATAACCAAAAACACCAAAGAACGAAACGTGAAACGTCATCAACATGTACCAAAGATAATAAAGTTTGTACGTTGATGCTGGTAGCTGAATACAATTTCTTCAAAAACATGGGTAACGGCGATGTGGAAGCTACCACTGGATATATGGTTGGTGTGGTTTTGTAGTGCTGGCGTTTGTGGTGGCTTTTGTGGTGGCTTTTGTGGCTGTTGTTGGTGTTTTTAGTGGCGTTTGTGTTGTTGCCGTTGTTTTTCAGGTTTCAAATGTTCTTCAGTTGTTGTTTTGTAGTTTTCTACTTCTGTTGGTTTATTCGTTTTAAAATATTGTCTCGAGTTTGTGCTGTGCATATACGTGCGTGAATGATGTTTCAATTGTTTTTATACATTTTTACATAGGCAAACAACAATACAAACATCAATATAAACAACGAAGTAAACAACAATATAAACATAAACAACAATATAAACAACAACAGCATGAACAACAACAGCATAAACAACACTAACATTAGCAAACTTCAACAAACGACAGATCAGTGTCATTGATCAAGTCAACCAGATATACTCGAGGACTGCTTTTGGCGGTTGTGGCACTGGCTTCCAATTTGAGATAAGAGAGGTAATAGTGATGATGAGGATGATGATGATCATGATGTTTGTTGATGATGATGACGATGATGGTGATAATGATGAATACCTAAATCATATGAAAATATACATATTCCCAAAACTCGTCTTTACATATGTACTTTTAATTGTATTATACGAATGTGCATATACGTATTATTCACATACATACACACAATTACACACACATACATACGCGCGCGCACACACACACACACACATACACACATTTATACACGCACATATACACGCACACACACACACGCACACAAACAGATTGTAGTCCATGATTCTTACAGTGATGGCAGTGACCCTAAATACGAATACAATATGGATAAGTTCATCAATACGTCAAATTTACTTGAGGTAGTTGTTGTTATTGGTGGCAAATCACACACACACACACACACACACACACACGTACGTACATACACGCAAACATACACACAAACATCAGTTTTTCAGTCGAAATCCTCACAACAAAAACTTCTGTCTGGCCCACCTCTTTACCTATAGATCTTTCGACACTGGAGTACTTGGTCTAGCCTACATTGGCTCGTCTAGACGCAACACCAAGGGCGGTGTCGGGACTACTGGTTGGTTGATTGATTGAATGGTTGGCTCGTTGATTGGTTTATCAACTGATTAATTAATTGATTGATCGGTGATTCTGTTGATAAGTTAAAGATTTGTTGATTTGGTTGAGTTGTTGATTTTGTTATTTATAAAGATGGTTGATTAAATTACCTATTCATTTATCCGTTCGTTTGTTCGTTCATTCTTTCATTTATTTATTCATTTATTCATTCATTTATTCATTTATTCATTCATTCATTCATCTGTCTACTTTACTAACATTCGTCAGATCATTACATTAGAAACCAACAGTTCTATATAAATACTGGTAAGTGAGAATTTTTTGATTAATTCAAATTATTATGCATTATTATTATTATTATCAATTATTATTATTATTTATTATTATTTATTATTATTTATTATTTTTATTATAGGCTGGAGTAGTTCGTTGAATAAATATAATAGAAAGCTGTTAACTGTGGAGGCGTATTTGGTCACTGCTCACGGTTTGTTTTTTCTGTTGATGACGATGAAAATGTTGCTGCTGCTTTTGCTGCTGCTGCTGTTGCTGCTGTTTCTGCTGCTGTTTATGATAATGATGATGATGAAGATGATGAAGTTGATAAAGATGATGATGGTGAATGGTGGTACTACTGGTGATGATGCTACTGATATGTTGATGGCGATGATGTCTTTATTTCAATATTCGTTGTGATTGTCATTAATATTTTGTTAAATAAATATTTTTTTCTCTTCATGTTTCTCTCTCTCTATCTCTTTCTCTGGTCAAACCGTAAAGAATTAGGTTAGATTTAGTTTCATTTATTTTTGTTAACGTTCTCAAAATTTCAATTTGATTATTTAAAAAAATTCTAATTAACTGAATATTTATTATCAAATGGATGATTTATTATGCAATATACATAATTGAAAATTTGATTGGTTATCAGCATTCACTTGAGTTATTATGATTGGCCAGTCAACAATTCATTCGTACACGTGACATTCCCCCACTGAACTCTGATTGGTTGATAATTAACTGTGATTGGTGGAACGCGAAAAATTTGATTGGCAGGTCATAACTGGGGCTCGGACCACGACATGGACACGGACGAATGTTCGCCCTCCAAACACGGCAAGTACATCATGTACATGTTCTCCGTGTCGGGCAGGGAAGATAATAATAAGGTCAGGTCAAGGTCAAGGTCACGACGACGACGACGATGATGAGGATGTGTGATAATGACGGGTGACGACTATCATCGTAATCGTTAATGTTATTTTATTGTTATTATTTGTTGTCACCGTAGTTATCACCTTGTTATCATTTGCGTGACCAGGGTGGGTGGAGGTCACCAATGGTTAAATGATTAAATGACTTCTACAGGATTTCTCGCCGTGCAGTCGCCGATCCATGGGCAATCTGATCCGAGAGAAGGCTGGCTATTATTTCTCAAGTACGACCTCTACTCACGGCTTTATTTTATTTTCTTTGTTTCATTTTTTTAGCCTCGTTTGTTTTTTTTTTTTTTTGTAATTCTCTCACGGTTTTCCGTTCAGCGTTTATTCCTTGGAGGATCCAACAGCGGATATGCACAGTGACAGTGTGTGTATATGAATACATACACGTGGATCAATGCACATGCACACGTGTACAACAAGAATAGCATTTTATTTTGAAAACAAGAGTGTTGGTATATTAACTAATCAATCGATCACTGTTAGAAAAATCCGGGTCATTTTGCGGAAACTACAAGGTAGAAGAGGGCGAGGAATGCGATGAAGGGCCAGACGCAAGTGACGCTGGCGGTGGCGGTGAAAGTGGCAGTCGTGGCCACAGATGCTGCTATAAGTGTAAACTGACATCCATGAGTCAGTGCAGGTGTGTTTGTGTGTGCGTGTGTTTATTCATTAATATTTGTTTCGAATTCGTTTTGGTTTTACTTGTCTGTGTAGTTATCATTTTCATCATCATCGTCATTATCATCGTCAACAATGACGTCATCATCATTACTTGATCACGTGATCACTTCAGCGACTTGAACCAGGAGTGCTGTCAGAATTGCAAATTCGCACCGGCAACGACAAGCTGCTTCGGGGAGCAAGATTTCGGGTGTAAGACGTCATCCAAGTGTAGGTAATCATGATGGCGATCTTGTCGTTGTTGCAGCTGCTTCTGCTGCTGCTGATGACGACGACGATGATGTTGTCGATGATGATGATGATGATGTTCTTCTTGTTTATGATGATGTGCCCTGATGATGTGGCATTCGCCATTTTATTCAACTTCGTCATCTTTCTTATCACCGTCATGTTCGCAACTCCGACCATCGTCCCATTATCATCATCATCATCATCATCATAGCTATTTTTATCATCACTATCATCATCCTTATATTTATCGTCATTATCGTCTTCATCATTATCATTTTAGCCATTTTTATCATCACCCTCATATTCATCATCATCGTTATCGTTATCATCATCTTCGTTATCATCATCGTTATCATCATCATCATCATCACCACCTATAGCGGAAAAGATACAACATGTCTTCCAGCCGGAAATAAACCCGACGGAACTGACTGCATCGCCAAGTGATGATGATGATAATAATTATAATAATAATAATAATTATTATTATGATAATAATGATGATGATAATGATGATAATGATGATGATGATGACGCAAAAAACGACAGTGGGAAATGTAGGAACGGAAGGTGTCAGTCATTGTGCGAGTACAACAAAAAACATCCGTGCATCTGCTCTGCCTGTCAGTTGTTTTGTTGATGTTGTTGTTGTTTTGTTGATGTAGTTGTTGTTTTATTGGTGATGTTGTTGTTTTGTTGATATTGTTGTTTTGTTGTCGTCCTTGTTGTTGTTGCTAGTGGTGTTGCTGATGTTGTTGTTGATGTTGTTGTCGTTGTTGTTGCTGATGTTGTTGTTGTCGTTGAGTTGTTGTTGTTGTTGTTGATGTTGTTGTTGATGTTGTTGTTGGTGTTGTCGTCGTTGTTTTCGTTGTTGTTGATTTTAGCGTTGTTTATGATATTGATGTTATTAATGTGGTTCCTTTTGTTGATGAAGTTGTTACTGTTGTTGCCGTTTCTGATGTTATTTATCATCCAACGTCTTAAGAACCCACCAAGAAGACAAAATTATAAACAAACACACACACACACACAAACACAAACACCGGCAAATACAAAAAAAACAACCACACACAACCACAACAGTATCGGACGCTTGTAAGTGGTGCTGCCAGACATCTGACAGCGATGGCACTTGCACTCCGTTCAACAACAGCTTCATACTTCCGGCTGGCACCCCATGCGTTCAGGGGTTCTGCGATAAAAAGGTGGGCTGTGATTGGCTAGGAGAATTAGTGGGAGGAGTCTGCTGATGAGAATGAGAATGATGGTGATTGGCTGAGAGGATGAGAAATAATGATTTTGTATTTGTTAGTGGACCAATTTGAAATTGCTATTACAAATGCGGTGAGAATATCTAGCTCAACCACAACGATATTAAGGGTGATGATAATGATGATGATTACA